TCAGTCCCAAAGGTAAAAGCCCCAAAGATCAAGTACATTAAAACTGATTTGTTGCACATGACTGACAAGGGTTTGGTTTGGTTTTGTTTCAGAGATAATCCAGAAGGTACGGAATGGCCAGAAGCTGTACTTCAGGCCTACCACAGATAACAGCCGGCACTGTGAGGAGCTGACCATCTTAATGGAAGGCTGTTGGGCTGAAGACCCTGCCGAAAGGCCTGACTTCAGCCACATCAAGATCTTTATTGCAAAATTTAACAAGTAAGCACTGCACACTGCCACACATCACTTACATTTGTAATATTTACATGAAGTAGAAGCAGCATTGTATCTTTGAACAGAATGCAGCATCTGTCCTAGAGCTGACAGCTCATTGATAAACAGCCTTTTATTGATGCAAGTGAAGGAGTTATGGTTAATTCCCCGAAGGGGCACTTGACAGACATTGACAAAGTTCCACTAAAATGCCTGGTATGTTTCATGTAAAAAAGGACCTTAAAGCCTAGTCTTCATTATATAAATGCATCTTGTTGACATTTTTAGACTTGTTAGTGATTGGACAAAGTTTAAATATCAGATATCTAAGTATAAACCAGGGCAGTGTTTCCCAAAAGCATGGTAAGCCATAAGTAGATCACAGAACTGATTGTACGGGCCAACTTAAATTATAGGCTGCTTTGCAAAAGCATAGTAACTTGAGGAGTACCTGAAAATCGTTGTAGATCAAGTGCTTTGGAGTAATCGTAAATAACTATAGTGCATTGCAAGGAGACAGACTTGTGCAGTCATCTGCAGGAGAACTGCTATAAATTACATCTAAACTCAATACCATTCCAATGCTGTCATGGTGGGTCAGGGAAATGTGGATGAGATGATCTAATTGAAACTAGACTTTTATTAAAGGGATAGTTCACCCAAAAATGAAAATTATATCATTAATTACTCACCCTCATTTCGTTCTAAACCCGTAAGACCTTTGTTCATCTTCAGAACACAAATTAAGATATTTTTGATGAAATCCGAGGGCTCTCTGACCCTCCATAGACAGCAAAGGTACTACCACGATCAAGGTCCAAAAAGTTAGTATCACAACGCATGCACATGCTCTGCTCTAAATGTTAACAAGATGCAGCGCATGCATGTTCCGTGTCAGCAGCATCACAAGCATGCGTTGTTTACGTGCAGGAAAATATCATGCGTCATGATACTCTCCAAAATGGCACCCTAGGGTGACGTGGAGGAGAATAATTGTTGAATAAAGTTATTTTAGTTTTCGTTGTGCACAAAATTTATTCTCGTAGCTTTATAAAGTTACAGTTGAACCACTGATGTCACATGGACCATTTTAACGATGTTCTTACGACTTTTCTGGACCTTGATTGTGGTACTACCCTTGCTGTCTATGGCGGGTCAGAGAGCTCTAGGATTTCATAAAAAATATCTTAATTTGTGTTCCGAAGATGAACGAAGGTCTTGCGGGTTTGGGACAACATGAGGGTGAGTAATTCATGATATAATTTTCATTTTTGGTTGAACTATCCCTTTAAAACAAATAAACTACTGCATAGATGGCTGTAGAATATATTGGCTACGTATGGTAACCCTCGTTCCCTGATGGAGGGAACAGAGATGTTGTGTCGAAGTTGACACTAGGGGTCGCACTTGGGACTTGACACTAGGGGTTGCACTTGTGCTTGAGGGTCATCATTCTGAACGGGAGCTTGTGAAGGGCCTGGTTCAGCACCTTCAGGGCCAAGATTGGTCTGAGCCCCCCTCCCTTCTTGGATACGATGAAGTAGGGGCTGTAAAACCCTTTCTTCCTCTCGGCCGGGGGGGCAGGCTCTATCACGTCCTTCGCCAGAATGGTTGCAACTCCTGCTCGAAGAACAGCGGCATTCTCAACTTGCACTGTGGAAAACAGAATGCCACTGAACTTTGGCAGACGTCTGCCAAACTGAATCACATAGCCGAACCAAATGGTTCTGAGAAGGCCAAGAAGGAAGGGCTGGGGAGCTTCAACTAAAAGTCTATAAAACAGAACATATACATCACCAATGCTTACACTTTATGCACTGTAGCTGTAATATGAATGGTGCGGTTTGTCACGTTTTTTCTTGATGACCGCGAAATGAACTAAAAATACGTCATACAGATAAAAGTAAAGCATTGTTTGAAACTGCAAAGGGTCTACTTTTATTTGTGTATAGTCATAATAACAACAAAACAACAGGGTGTGCTCTCTGCCGTCTCGGTCTCTGTCAACTTTTTTCACAGACACTTAAATAACCTAAATCTATGAATACTTGCCTCACAGACATGATAAATATATGTATATAAAGCTTGAAATGTCTACTTGTAAATGAATGTATGAATGCAAGTCATGTCGAAAACAAATATTCTCTGATAAAGTAATCCCTATGAAACCAACGTGAGGCAAGTTTTCCCCATCTGAGCTCATTATCTGTAATGTGATCATGCCCATGCGCACGATCTATTCTTACGATAATCATCCACGTGAGATGCGGAAAAATGTAAACGCCCATCTAGGATACTTTTCATTTTCGGAAGAAGACGCGCTGAGAGGAATAAGACAGAATTTACCTCAGAAGAAGAATGTGACGCAATGCTATGTGATGCGAAACGCGGCGCGAGCCAATGGAGAAAATCATTTCTGATGAGTAAGGCATTTTTTATTACTTGCGTTCGTTGTTATTGTGATGTAACATTACTAGTTAGACTTTTCCTAAACTATAATTCCTGACTACATGTATGAAATCAAGTGAAACATTTTGAAATGTCATTTCGTTGCATCTAAATGTTTCATGACACCAGGATGTTTTTTAATGTTCTATAAAATATAAAACAATACGATATAAAAGTAATATGAGTGTTTACACTATAACACTATGAATGTTAGAGTCTGAGAATGTTTAGACCAATGTTTACTGTGAAATACTCTGTTCACGAATATATGTAGATGTTTATAGTATGCTTAACAATAATTTTTGTTTCCCAGATATAAATTGTTTTTGTATTATATAATACATATGAAGTATGTTTGTGTTTATGACTATAAAATCGTGTTATTATTATTATTTTTTGAGTTACGAGTGGGCAACATTATTGCTAATGTAATAATATAGTTGCTCCTGATGTCATGCTAGCAGATGTTTTTTTTTTTTTTTGGTGATCAGATACCTTGAAGACTTCACTGCTTTTCTCTGAGAGTGCTGTACCAACATCAGAAGCTGTGAAGCTGTTCAACTACATTGGGCTGATATTCTACATGAATATGGTAAAATAAGCTCCATGACTGCTGATGATGGGGCTGTTTTTTTCTTGAATCCATAGAAAGAAGCAACAAATACTTTGGAAATATCAAGTATTTACTTGTTTCAACATGAACAGGATCTGTTGTCAGCAATGGCACAAAGGTGTGTGACTGTTCAAGTCTCTGTGTTTAGATCAGAGTGCTCAGTAATGTGTCTTTGACCTTCACTGTGTATATTTTGATTATACTGTGTTGTAATTAAATACAAATAATCAACCCCCCATTATTTGAATCTCCTCACATTCTTTCTTACCTGCCTCACAGTCACAATCTGTCAGGGTCTGGCGTCTGGTGTTCTCCCTCTCACCACCAGAGGTCGCCATCTCCCATCCTCCCGGACTCCTTTTCCGTTACCTTGACTCCACACACCTGTGCACGCACTCACTCACACACAGCTGTGGCCCATCCTGAGGGCTATTTATGCGCCTTCCCCACGCCACTCTGGGCGGATTATTAATTGTGGTTTCGTGGATTGACGCAGCCAGAGGTGGCCGCATTGCGTCAGATTCCTGTATCTGTTCTAAGCCTGTGTCTCAGAGTCTTAGCTCTGTTTGTTTTCTGTTTTTACTTTGTTTTCCCCAGCAGTTAAATAAAGCCTGCATTTGGACCCAAACCCATTGTTTACACGGTGTGCTTTCCTGACCCCGCCGTGACACAATCACACTGATGGCCCATTAGGGGAGGGCCCTTTGCCTCTCTGGTGTGAATCACTAAATATTCATGGCCACTGTCACCCCCTTGCATATAGACTTTCTAACACAAAACATGTCTTACAAAAGTTAAATCAATATATTGTTTTCTGTGAATGAGTGAGCAGGATGATTTTCACATAATTTTGTAGCAACTCCTCTTACTAAGAGCGGTTCATGTGCCAGGCAGTCTGAACCTTGGAGCGGACATGCTATCCAGAGGTAATGTATCTCCGGGAAAATAGACACTACATCCTCAGATGGTTCAAATGATTTGGTTTGTCTTCGGGAGGGCAGAGGTTGACCTCTTTGCCTAAGAAGACAACTCTCAGTGCCCAACTTATTTCTTGATGTAGTGAGATGACCTGGCCCACAATTGGCCCAGCATTCGTCTGTATACA